ATATAATAAGTTATATTTATCAAATTATTAGTTTATGTATAAATATACTAATAATATTATTGATATTAATTTATGAATAATATTATAAAATTATAATATATATATATATATATATATATATATTTATATTTATTTATTTATTTTAAGTACACCTCCTTTTCTTTTTTTTATAAAAAAATATTCTTGAAATATCATGAACGTAAAAAAAAATAAGGAAAAAAATATAAATTAAACAATAAAGGAGTCAAATTAAAAAAAATATAGGATAAAAAATTAAAGATATTTTAAAAAATAAAAAAGGTTTACTTATAATAAAAAGGTGGTGTATATATCATTAGCCTTAAATAAATCCATTACATTTCCTGTAAAGTATCATGAATGGTCCGTTTGTTTTTTTTTTTTAAATAATACTTTTAAATAAAATATTTTTTTAATATTTTTTAGTGGGTTTGTTTAAACAGTTTATCTAATTTTATTTTTTATTTTTACTTTTTTTTTAAGAAACACATATCTTATAATTACTTTTTTTTTGTTTAAACGAACTAATATGTGCACTTAAAAAATTTTCATAAAAAGGAATTAAAAATGTTTTTGTATCATCCAGTTTAGTCAAGTCAAGTTCAGCACAAGCTCGCCCATAATTGGGCTCCCATCCCATTAGTGCTACAAAGTGAAATCCTAAACAGTTTATTCCTAAAGGCTATAGGAATATTTTTGTGTTACATATCTTTCAGAATTTAGGATCATATTATCAAAAATAATATTTTTGCCTATCAAAATAATATCTCTTCTTATTAAGAACAATATCTCCACACAATCACCATAATATATCTCCAATAAATCATGCAACATTATCATTAAACCTAGAGATAAGATTAATCACCTATATATAAGACACCAGAAGCCCCCACTACCATTGATATTAGAGTAACCAAGATGACATTCCTGGTGTCGATGCACTTGCAAATTTTGGTAAGAACATTTGACATCCACTATGGGACCAAAATGAAATTCTCTTCTGGCCACACATGGTGGAAACCAAACAATGAGCAACAATGTATCAACAACCTTTGTGACTACCGAACACCTTGGACTAGTCCTAACTCTCGTGAAGCTGCATGTGGTGCTCGTGACACCATTCGTTATCACCATTGTGCCACTTATCACACCATCCACCACTAAACTCTTGCAACACATGGAGGCCATGCACAAGTGCAACAAGAAAGTCTTGTCGGCCCTCTACCAACACCATGAGGCCGATCATGTATGATATGAGTGAGAGCTAAGCTTTGCAACAAGAGAACCACAATACTCACACATGCGTGAGTATCTAAAAAATGGAGGAATACACAACCTCTCAACCCACCAAAGACATCCCTACTACATAAGGCTCTTGGCTCGGCTAGGAAAGCCAACATCGTCTTCAAATCACACCGAGGCTCGTTGATGAACATTATGGTCATCCCTTTATCGACTATGTAATCAACATACCGCTTCCTCGAGGATGGAAACACATCATCGTGAAGGCATATAATGGGTCAACATGCTTAGACGGGCACCTCGCTGCCTATAATACCATAATGCACTTGTACACCTAAGATGAGGTAGTCATATGCAAGATCTTCCCAACGACGCTTGAGGGTCTTGCTTTGTTGTGGCATACTCACCTACCCCCATTGAGTATACCTAGTTATGTTTTTTTGATGCAACAACTCAAAGCACACTTCACCACTGGTCGACCACATGAAACCTCAACTTTGGTGTTGCTTAACATGAGGCAAGATGATAACGAATCACTCTAAGCTTTCATGGAGAGGCTCTCATCTGTGGCCAACAAAATACAGGACCTTCATCCACAAGCCACCCTAACCGCCATGATAAATGCACTAAAAGGGGGGGGTCATTCTTCAATGACCTTTATTGGGACAAGCCTACCAACGTGAATGAGTTGAGAACATGTGCCGCATTAGATTCATCCAAATGGAGGAGCATGAGGCCAGTCGGCGCAAGATCTAATCTTTCATCTTTAATTTATTACTAAAGAGATATTATTTATTCTTTATGTTTTTTTTCTTCTTTTGATTGCTACACAAAAGTTTGCTAATTCATTTATAAAAATAGCATTGTTCTTATCTTTTCAAAGAAAATTGCAGGAAACAAACATTAATGCCTACACAAAACAAGGCCAAGCATATGAGCTTGTTAAGCTTTTAAACTTTCCACCAAGTCACAAGCTTCTAAGTTTACCAAGCTTTTGAGATCTTACGCGATTTTGAGCTTCTAAGTTCTCACGTCTTAAAGATTACGAGTTTTTGAGCTCTTACACAATTTTGAGCTCTTATGGCTTGAAGATTATAAGTTTCCAAGCTCTTGTGTGATTCTAAGTTTTTGAGCTCTTGCATCTTGAAGATTATGAACTTTCGAATTCTTGTACACTTATGAGCTTGTGAGCTCTCACATCTTGAAGATTATGAGCTTTTGAGCTCTTGTGCGATTATAAGCTTCCACACTCTTGTGTTTTGAAGATTATGAGCTTTTAAGCTCTTCCACAATTCTAAGATTTTGAGCTCTCACCTCTTGAAAGCTTGCAAGATCTCGTGCGATTCTAAGCTTCTAAGCTCTCACATCTTGAAATTATGAGCTTCCAAGCTCTTAATAGATTACAAACTTTCAAGCTCTTACATGATTCTCTTAAAGATTACGAGTTTTAATTTGAGCTCTTAAGCAATTACAAGCTAATGAACTCTATGAGCACTTTGGATGCAACATATTAACCTTCCACAAAGCTAGTCGAAACATGATCTAACCTTGGCACCTTGCTAGCAAAAGTCAACATCTCTAATGTAGAAGGGGGACTTCACTCATAACTATAACTCTTTCGCTCTAAAAAGCTTGGAGCTCAAAGGGCTAATGTACTGTTTATCTCAATTAAGCCAAATTGAGCACAAACTCGCCTATACTTTGGCCCCTAGCCCATCAACGCCACAAAGCAAAAACTTAGGCAATTCATTCCCAACGGTACAGGTGTATCTTGACGCCACACATCTCTCAAAATTGGGGATCACATTATCAAGAATAATATCTCTATTTATTAAGAACAATATCTCTACACAGTTATCAGAATATATCTTTAAGATATCATACAACATTATCTATAAACTTAGAGATAAGATCGATCACCTGCACTAGGTCACTGTTGGGATTCATCCCAAGTCCCACATCTGTAAAATGAAGGAACATTGGCTAGTTTATAAGGGTGTCCACCATTCCATATAGTATGAGGCCTTTTAGGAAGGAGCCCAAAAACAAAACCGTGCGGGCCTAGCCCAAAGCGGATAATATCATACTATGGTGGAGGAACAGGTGGACTATCGGGCCCAACAAGTGGTATCAGAGCCAACGGTTCGGCTGGGTTTGATGCGGGAAGACCCTCAGTGTTGTGCCTCGCGATGGAGATCCGAACTTGGTGCCTTGTATCGAAAGTCTTCCTGATATTGTGGTGTTCAGGCGGCGTGTCCCGTAGAGTTAACGGCGGTACAAGATGGTGATGGATTATCGCTTGAGGGGAGGAGGTCACGAGACATGTGGTCCTTGGTCTGAGGAGAGGTTTGTTGGGATTCATCCCAAGTCCCACATCTGTAAAATGAAGGAACATTGGCTAGTTTATAAGGGTGTCCACCATTCCATATAGTATGAGGCCTTTTGGGAAGGAGCCCAAAAACAAAACGGTGCGGGCCTAGCCCAAAGCGGACAATATCATACTATGGTGGAGGAACAGGTGGACTATCGGGCCCAACAGTCACCATTGGTGCATTTGTAGATTTTCGTAAGTACAATTTTTTTTATGGTTGATGAAGTATTTAAAGACTCACCAATGTGTTTGGGAAACAATTCATATGTTAAGTTCAATGACAAAATAAAACATTCTTGTTTCTTTGTTTGTTCACTTGAAAAATATTAATGTTCATTTCCAAGGTTCTAAACAGTCATTTATATTAAGAGGAAAAGTATTAGTATTTTTTTTGGGTGGAATCAAATTATACTCTTTTTTCATTGGACTCTCCCAATACTATTAGGGAGAACGCTAATAACATACTAGAACTACTGGTAAAAGCTTACCTAGAGGGTTATTGTATAGGTTTGAATCACAAGCAATCTCACCCAATTAGGAGATCTCTTGTGAAGGGTTGTCCACCAAGTAGAGAAAGTGAAATAAGATTTTGTTCTACCATTTAACCTGGCTTTACTTCATTGCCATGACCAACTTCTCCTATGGAGCATTTGATAAATTTAATAAGATAATTATATATTATGTTTAATAAATACCATAATTAATATATTATATGTAAAATTAACTGCATAACAATATTAAATATAATATACAGTCAAATTAGATAATATGATTAAATTTTCTATTAATTTAAATAATATAATAATTTTTGATTAAATGTAATATTTATTTAAAATGATTTACTTTTAATATTTGTATAACTTTCTTTGATGTTATATTTACTAAATATAATATATAGTAAAAAATATTATTAAATGATGCATTTATTCAATATAATATATGTATTATTTTTTTAAATGAAATAATTTTAAGAATTGAATAAAATAATACTAATTTCACTTCTTTTATATAATAATCAAATAAATAATCAATCAAGACCACTAACAATAGTTAACTAATTTTATTTAATAATGTCATAAATATTTCATCAAGACCAATCAAATAATTTAAATAGTGATTATATTTAATGAAACTACAACTAATTCAAGAAAAAAAATTATAGTGATGAGTGTGACTTGTTAATAAGCAATAGGTGAATCATATTCACTTGCGATGTTAAATCACTATTTAAACCATTTTATTAATTTCAGTCATTTATATAAGAAAGAAATAAATAATTCTTCAAAACCACTTTAAAAATAGTTTTTGTAACTAATTTCAATTAATAATGTCATAAATATTTCATCAAAACTAATAAATGATTTAAATAGTGATTATAGTTAATCACACACTTAGATTGAGATTTATTTTTCACCAATTGTGTGAATTGTGTTGTTGATAATCAATAGATATTTTCACTAGCGTGAAGATTGAAAAAGTCTCATTAATAAATTTTACCATAGATGAAGATGTAAAATAAAACTAGTAATAAGTCTTAAAGTAACCAAGTAGCATGAAAACTGGTTAGTATGTATATAATATTATTAATTTTTTGTCTTTTTTTTAAAAAAAAAATTATTAATAAAAATACTTTTTTTTTAAATATTGCTGCTCATTTTCCTTTGGTCTAGATTTATATAAAAGATTTTTTTTTTATTAAAGTTATATGGGGAGTGCCCTGCTTCACTTTCGAATAAAAAAGTATATTTTTAATTTCTTAACTACTAGAATTCTTTTGTATATATATAAAAGACTGGAAAAAAAAAGGAAATTAAAATTAAATGTAAAGTGTACATTGATATTTGAGCTCAAGTCAGCAATTTGTCAATGACCTATCAATTAAAAATATAGCAAATTGAATGGAACACTTATATGCTACCTGTTGACTTAATCCTCAATCAATGGAACATTCCAGTGCCGTTACGCAGTGGTATTGTTAATCTTACATATTTATTTATTTTAATTATTTAGCTATCCTACCTTTTTAGTGTCTAGTGAAGAAATTAATTATTGTTATTATGAATACTCCAGGAATAAATAAATAAAAAAAGTACTTCTACCACTTAAATGTATAATATCCCAAAGACGTGGAAATTTCTCCATGTCAAAGTTTGCAATATTGAAAGAGATAATATTACTTGTTAGGGCACCCACCACATTCATTCCCAAAAAAACGGATTACATATATTTCTTCAACAACACGAAAACTATATATTATACACATTTCAAGCAGTATCATTTAGTAGGCCTAAAATAAAAAAGATAAACAGAGAAAAATTTAATCCAAGATGAACCCACGGAGGAATATACATAGGCTTTTTATTTTGTTTTTTCAGTATGTAATTACGTAAGCGTAGATTACTATGTTACATATTAGAAAGGAATTCCTTAAAAAGAAAATTGCATCTAGAACGAAAAGCTTTACTAATTAAAGTCAACTTCTAACTTTTTTTTTGGGGTCAATATCGTTTAGATTGGTTTCTAGACAAACATGATATTCAAAATAGACTAATTAAATTAATTTTAACCATAAATAAAAGGAACCGACAGTTTTGTTTTGGGTATATATAGTATTATATTTATAATGCTAAATCAAAAAAAAAAAAATTGTCTTCTTAAATTTTTCTTTTTCCTTTACAGAGGAAGAAAGGAACCGAAGGTCCCAAAGTTTTTTTTTTTTTTTTTTTTTTTTTTTTTTTTTTTTTTTTTTTTTTT